AAATTGATGCGATGTTTCACAGGAAGCCAATGCAGAGAACAAAGGACAGGAGTGATGTGATTATACTTCTTGGAGAGAGTTACAAGACGAGCAGCAGAGTTCAAAACATATTGTAATTTATCAATTTGAGCATTAGGTAATAATCGCCCTTTCTTCGTCAGCAGCACTTGAAACCTCCATATTTCAGGGTCTGAGTTGTCTTAAGTTTCCTAAACTACTTATAAACTCCCGAAAATGAATGTATGTTAGCTCTGGCCGGACTTTTAATAGTTTTAATGAATGTTTCTGATGGTGGTGCAATGACTTACGTTACGTTTTGTTATGGAAACACTATTTTCGACAGGCGTTCCTACAAGGACAGGAGAGCAACTGGACTCTAGTCATCTGTTTCCTCTCGACTTTTATTATGTAAAGGAAGCCCGCTTTAAAATGTGATCTTATTTTTTCTCTCAAACAAAACTCACACATAAAAGTGTATAACATTATAAATGTGATCTTTTTTTTCCATCTCAAACAAAGATTACACAAAAAATGTCTCATTGACTATTATATGGAAAACATAAATTACTAGATCTTTCCGCTCCGAAAAATTGAACCCCATGCTTGGAACTGTGAAGTAGACAAAATTCATATAGAAGCCCCTGTGCAAATGTTCCCATCCCCTCCCCCTGGAAAAATCAAACTGAATGAGTTCCTGGAGCTATAAAACTACTCTCTCTTTTCCTTTCTATTTCTCTATGAATACAGCAACGTCAATGACTAATATTAAATTCTTGTGCCTGGTAATATGATTTTCTTTGCACTTCCAGCTGAGCCGTGAACACAGCACAAAAACCATGAGTGGACAAAATGACTGACCCTAAGCATTTTTGGAGCTTGAAAGAACGATGCAAAAATGGTAGTAAAGGGAAATTGTTTTCATTCTTCCTTTCTGTATTTCTGCTTCTTGTAGGCACATATATCACATTGTAGTCAAAAGAAAACAAAAAAATATGCAAAAGTTGGGCTACAGTATCCTGGGAAGACAGCCAGCCACAAAACAGCTAAACCTGCTGTGATTGCTCAACCGTTTGGAAATTGTACAAAAGCAAGCGGACAAGAGCATAAAGTAAACCCTCTGTGAAAGACAGTGATTTTACTTGAACCCTAAGCATAATACATACCAGCAGACACTACTTCCATTTTTTCTTTTGTTTTACTTTGATTATTACTCAGTAATAAGGAGAACTCCTGGAGATTCTTGAGGACCAAGAGAACATTTTACAAATTCCTAAGCTATAAAGGAAGTTCAAGTTGAAGAAGTTTGCTCAGATACCAGAGCATTCTTTGATCCCAGACCCCTCATGAAAACCCTGTTTTTTCAAATTTCCATGAGTACACCAAACAACTTTGCCCACCGTCAGCACTTCACATTGATACAATAAGTACAGTACATTGTGTAAGACATGGTTAGTACAGAGTTGTACAATTTTGAACAACACAATTAAAGGTACAATTGTGCTTACTTTGAAGTTAGTCTTAATTTTCTTATTTTTCACTAAAACTGTCCTCATGACAGCATCGTTTGAATACTACATCTACCAGAATGCTTTGCAAATTTGCTTCCTTACCGGAAGTTTTAACATTTTTTTTCTTTTAGTAACCATGAAGACTCAGAACTAGGAGGATCTTTACCCCAGCTCCAAGTCAAACATCACTGCCACAATGGAGCAATAATCAGTCCAATATTACATAGTTTTTGAAATTTTGTGAACCATTTCATATATCTATTGATAACTGAGGGCATTGAGAACGAAGACCATACAACATGTTGTCAAGATTATTATGCAAACTCATTGATAAATTTTTCAAAGAAGATCATAATTTATTAAAACTAAATATTGGCACAGTGTACCTATCCACGGCCTCCTCCACAAAAATACTAACCTTAGAAAAGTGACTCAAGAGGCTAGAAAAATCATGCCTTTGTGCTTATTTTTCTAAAAAAATAGGTTGGCTTTTTATCCAGCTGGATGTAACAGCTCAGTAAAGTATTTGGAGTGACTCAAGAGGCTGGAAAAATCATCCGTTTGTGCTTATTTTTCTAAAGAACAAATAGTTGACTTGATATCCAGCTAGTTCTAACAGTAAAGTAAAGTAGAGTAAAGTAGAGTAAAGTAACATAAAGTATTTGGAGTATCCCATTTCTATGAAATCTTACTAAAAGGAATGCAGCAACCAATGTAATCAAAAACTACAAATACATCATTACTAACAAGGCTTCAATATGTAAATAACTCTATGTACAAGTAGGAGTAAATGATTATCAAGTGCACTTAGATGCAGAGTGGACTAAATGTTAATCGTCTTTAGGATTGCTGTAGACTTGTTATGCTTTAGGTACAAAATGGGCTGCTTGGGAACGTATCCGCTTTTCATAATCAGCTCGGTTTTGACTAAACAAACAAACAAACAAGAGGGTTTAACAGTTGCATAATGATATTTATGAACAAACAAAATAACAAACAAACAAATAAACAGACAGACAAACAAACAAACAAACAGATTTATAAATATCTTTGAATGAGATGGAAACATCCTTCATCCAAGTCATGGCGAAGGTCTAACCATCTGCAGATATTTTTAGAGCAAAAGCAGCACCTTCTACAGTGTACTTAGATATATTATGACCCTGAGTGTTGGTCAGGCTGAGGTTTGAACCACAAACTCCTGCACAATAGTCTGGTGCCCAGTAAACTGGGCCAGCTAGGTTATATTATTCCAGTGTTGCAGTATCTCAGATACAGCATTAAGGGATCATCATCATCATCATCATCATCATCAGGATTACTATCATTAATCCAGGGACAAGTAGTACTCACATATAGTAGTGGGTTCTGGAATAGTCCAGTTTTGAGTTCCAAATTACAGCTGTGTTCCTAGATCACAGACTCATTTACTCAGGCTTAGCCTCGAATCAGTGTCTAATTACTCGCAAATACCAACAGTAAAGTAAAGAATGCACAACTTCAACAATACAAGCATTTTGAAACTTGACGGACCTTGACTGGAACATGTGAATATTCTTCACAAAATCGAGGCTAAGCCTAAGTAAATGAGTCTGGTATCAAGAAACACAGCAGTAATTTGGAACTCGAAAAGAGTCTATTAAACCCCAACTAAAGATAGTGTGTCAGCAATACATACAAAACCACCTCAAAAATGTACCAAAAGCAATGCATGAATCTATGATGTACTTAGGATAGTCCCTTATCATCATCAACTTACCAATAGGATGTATACGCTTCTGCTTGGGCTGGATCCTTCACATTTGGATCATTTAGTAAGTCTTGTATGCCTAAAAGTATCTAAAAAAGGTAATATATTAGCCATCATAATAAAGAAAAAAAACTTGTCACTGCTAATCACCACTGCAAGTACTGACAGCAGTGGCACAGCTCAACACTGTCAAATTGAAGGTGTGTCAAGGGGCCTCTGGCAGCCCCGATACAGTCCACGTATGACCGTGGAGAACAGTTCTAACCAGTTTGAATTAGCAGGGTTTGAAATTTGTTTTTTCAAAATCATAAACTAAAAAAAGGCTGGTAAAACTAGTTGGTGAAAATACTTTTCATTTTCACTTTTTGGTTGAGGTTGGAATGGCTTTAATTTTATCCATTAGAAACGTAGAAACAATGTACTTATGACATGTACATTATGTAGTCAAAGTCAGGTCTCTATGTTGTTAGTTAGAAAATTTTTACATGCTCAGTTTCTGACTGGCTAATCCAAGATACTTAAAATGCATCCAAATACGACGAGAGGGAAAAGGCACCAAATGAAACAAACTCATAACATGTGCATTTGACGTTGCCACAGAGACACAACATAGCCTTACTTGTTTTATAGTAACAGCAGGTCTCCAGTCTTTGTCTTCATCTAATAAAGACAGACATACTGTACCAGATGGATAGACATTCGGGTGAAATATAGGAGGGTCAAATTTACCTAAAACATTTWAAAAAAAATCCATTAACTTTCGCTACATATTTCTGTAGAGAGCAGGTCAGTTTATTTTCACGAGAATTAAGTCTTCATTTCAGCCTTTTTGCAAGTTCATCCCAAAGTGCTTGGATGAAGGCTAGTGAGGCAAATATATTTTTGTCAGGCCTTCAGGCTAGTCCTCCGTACGCAGGGCCAATAATATGAAAAAAAAGTGTTATAAACTTTTTCCTTGGGAAAGTAAGAACAACCTTTTGATAAATTAAAAAGCACACTTATATCAAAATAATAGCATTGATCAATACTGATCAAAATACGAGAAACTAAATCTGGCATTATTTGCTTGAGCCTTACATTTTGGTGGAGTAGAAGGATAGTCATCTTTGAATATCATTTTCAGTTTATACAGCCCTCCTTCCCAAGGTGTCTGGAACGAAGAAATAATTTCATTTATCAGAAATTATGATCAAAAAGTGAGCACTTACAATGTGAAGAAGGACACTGTAATACCCAATGTGCACGAGCATGTATCTCCAGTACAAAGCATGATGGGAAAACAAGTACTACACACATTAGAAGGAAATCAATAGAATTTTCAGGAAAAAATTATTGTCATTTTCGTCTGTTGAAATACTTACAGTTTCATAAAAAATGTTGAAGGAAGAATCGTCAAAGGGATTTTTAGAGGAGTTGAAAAACCGTAAGTACTTGGTTTCACATCATGCTCTGTGTTAGAGATTTGTGCTCAAGCACGTTGGCTATTCTAAGGTAGGCAGCAACTGAGGAGGGAAAGTGGGGGAGGGGGGAGAGGAGGGGGGTGTTAAAGATCCACGTAATACCTATACCTCCACAACAGATCTTCTAGGGTGGGCATGTACTGTGGGTGCAAGAAAATCTAATACACCTGTATCTTAAATACATGTAAGAATTTTTTAATCATTTTATCAAATCAATGACCAACCAATCCAGCATTAGAGGTCAGTCTAGAGAAGCTGTGAAACTTTGAGAAAAAGGTAAGACCTAATATAGGTTGGACTTAATATGTTAAATACACTTACTGTACTTAACAGTCATTAATAATTCATGAGAAAAAACAATAGAAATCAGCCCATGAAGAGTTGTATAATTCTGACATGGAATCATGTTCATTTGCATAAACTTTAACTTGGATTTTTCCTGCTAGATTCACTTTTATCTTGAAAATTTTAGTAAAACACAAGAACTAGCCTAAAAGTTTAATAAGCAATATAAAATATGGGTGGTGGCGTTGTATGCAATATACAAACTTAGGCCTACCACTCAAGTTTGTATATCGTATACAACACAGCCGCTCGTATCATATATATATATATATTACATATTGATCAAGTCAAGCCTTAATGTGAATCTATTGTTTTGAATCTATGATTCAAACAAATTTGTGAAAGGTCTACTGCAGCAAATGAACTTCCTCTGTCATAAAAAATTCAGAATGTGCAATATTTTGACACTCTGAATATTTTCATCCATTAAATAAATAAACCCACCTCTGGAATAGTAAATATCTCTAATACTCTACATTCCAGCAATACTATTTCTCTTTAAACTATTTTTATAACCTAGCACAACCTCTTAATTACACAAAAAATTCATTGCAGCATGAAAACTCAATGTCATATAAACATTTACGTGGTTCACTAGCTTATTCAACCCCCCCTCCCCTCCCACCAAAGTAAAAATTACTAAGTAGTTTTCAAGAAATATAAGCAGTATAAATTAACAAGAAAATCTTCTTGCCCACACATTCTAACTGGCTTGATAATGATGAACGTGGATAAAAAGGTTTTTAAATGTCTAGAACTTCGTTCACTTACCCCTTTTTTCCCGGGAATAGCTGTTAAGAACAATAACATTTGGTTAGATAAAAACATAATAAAATATATATTTCGTATATTGAATGACTGTTATCGTTCTGGGAGTGAATTATATTGAAATAATTTCGTTAATGGGGAAAGAGTAAAAGTATTTAAAGTCAAAATTGAATGAAACATTTATCGAGTACAAAAGACAGCTCATCGTCGACAAACTCTTTGACAAAAGCCATAAACCTTACCGCAGTCCCACTGCATTAGGTTCAATGTCCCGTCGGAGTTTTTATACGGCTTAGCCACAAAGCCCTAAAGAATAGAAAGGTATTCAACAAAGCTATCTTTTTTCCAAAAGAACAAATAGTTTTGTATAAAGAATGAAGATCAATCAAGCACATGGAGTAGTGATCTCCACTCTTTCAAACTCACGAATGGATGGTCTTTTCGCCAGGCTTTTCTTTCCTCAGATAACCGTCCTAGAGCTATACCAGACATTTTCAAAGTGAAGTTGAATGCTTTGCGTGTCTCTCGTGTTAGTTAAAAGGTAAACAATAACGCTAAAAGACTGAATTTTGACCGATTTTGTTTGCCATTCTTCAGAATGTGAGACTCAAATCGGTCAACAGAGCGCTTTACTGCGCATGCACTCGTCCCAGGTTATACCCGAAAGTACAAAAACGATAAGGGCTGGGTCATAAGTGGGGTAGGGTAGGGGCAGATCTCGTCTTTTTTTTCTCTTATTTTATTCTGTATAATTTATTCTTATCAAGAGTATCAAGAGCTGTTTGTATTGGGAGAGACCATGAAGAGAAAGATACGGGTTCAAGTGCGACTGCAGTGCTACTTTGATCAATGCAAAAACGTTCAAGCTGTCGACCATAACCGCTTCTAGATCAGTATAAAACCTTTATTAATAGAGGAGATACAGTAATAAAGTAAAATGAAGACTTATCTGGTAAAGAAAAGGAAAAAAAGAAGGGAAAAGAAAAAAAGCAAAGAAAAGGAAAGGAAAGAAAAGAAAAGAAACGAAAAGAAACGAAAAGAAACGAA